CATCATCCTGATACCAAAATCTGGCAGAGACACAACAAAAAAAGAAAATTTCAGGCCAATATCCCTGATGAACATTGATGGGAAAATCTTCAATAAAATACTGGTAAACCAAATCCAGGAACACATCAGAAAGCTTATTCACAATGATCAAGTCGGCCTTCAACCCTGGGATGCCAGGCTGGTTCAATATACACAAATCAATCAACGTAATCCATCACATAAACAGAACCAATGACAAACAAAATAAAACAAAACACATGATTATCTCAATAGATGCAGAAAAGTCCTTTGATAAAATTCAACATCTTTTCATGCTAAAAACTCTCAATAAACTATGTATTGATGGAACATGTCTCAAACTAATAAGAGCTATTTATGACAAACCAATAACAAATATCATACTGAATGGGCAAAAGCTGAAAGCATTTTCTTTGAAAACCAGCACAAGACAAAAATGGCCTCTCTCACCACTCCTATTCAACATAGTATTGGAAACTCTGGCCAGGGCAATCAGGCAAGAGAAAGAAATAAATGGTATTCAAATAGGAAGAGAGAAAGCCAAATTGTCTCTGTTTGCAGATGATATAATTGTACATTTAGAAAACCCCATCGTCTGAGCCCAAAATCTTCTTAAGCTAATAACCAAGTTCAACAAAGTCTCTGAATACAAAATCAATGTGCAAAATTCACAAGCATTCCTATATACCAGTAATAGACAAACAGAGGGCCAAATCATGAGTGAACTCCCACTCACAATTGCTACAAAGAAAATAAAATACCTAGGAATATAACTTACAAGGGACATGAAGGACCTCTTCAAGGAGAACTACAAACCATGGCTCAGGGAAATAAGACAGGACACAGAAATGGAAAAACATTCTATGCTCATGGATAGGAAGAATCAATATTGTGAAAATGGCCATATTGCCACAAGTAATTTATGAATTCAATGTTATTCCCATCAAGCTACCATTGACTTTCTTCACAGAATTAGAAAAATCTACTTTAAATTTTATATGGAACCAAAAAAGAGCCTGTATAGCCAAGAGAATCCTAAGTAAAAGGAACAAAGCTGGAGGCATCACGCTACCTGACTTCAAACTGTACTACAAGTCTACTGTAACAAGAACAGTATGGTACTGGTACCAAAACAGAGATATAGAACAATGGAACAGAACGGAGGCCTCAGAAATAACACCACACATCTACAATCATCTCATCTTTGACAAACCTGACAAAAAGAAGCAATGGGGAAAGGATGTGGTGCTTAAAACCTAGATGACAGGTTGATAGGTGCAGCAAACCACCATGGCACATGTATACCTATGTAACAAACCTGCACATTCAGCACATGTATCCCAGAGCTTAAAGTAAAATAAAAATAAATAAATAAAACAAAAATTTAAAAAGTATTATATGCATACAAAGCTGTAATAAAGTAGTATGGTACTGGCATGAAAGCAGGGACATAGCCCAATGGAACAGAATAGTGAACCCAGATATAAATGCAAGCATACATGGTTAAACTAACTTTAAACAATGTCACCAAGAGGACTCAATATGCTGTTGGTGGGAATGTAAATTGGTACAACCATTATAGAAAACAGTATGGAAGTTTCTCAAAAAATTAAAACTAGAACTACCATATGATCCAGCAATCCCTCTTCTGGCTATGTACCCAGCAAGAAATAAAGTCAGCACGTTGTAGCGATATCTGCAGTCTCACATCCATGGCAACCTTATTCATAATAGCCAAGAAATAAAAACAACTTAAATGTCCATCAATGGTGGGGGAGGATAGATAAACAAATTGTGGTGGATATATATATCTATCTATCTATCTATCTCAGATAATGGGGTTTTCTAAATATACAATTATGTCATTTGCAAGCAGAGACAATTTGACTTTCTCTCTTCCTATTTGAATACCATTTATTTCTTTCTCTTGCCTGATTGCCCTGGCCAGATATATA